TCATGACTTTTCCGACAACCCAATAGCTATGTACTCAATACCTAGTAACTTAATAACAGCAATAAAATTACAAACTATTTCCCTTTTGTATTACTACTGCCTTTAATACTTTATATTACCTTTTTCCATTTATGTACCTTGTTCTAGATGATGATGATGGTCATAATCATGATCATGATTTTATGCTTATATGGTTATAGCTTGGGCAGTAGGAGTCTCCGTTTCTCTTTTGTCCTTTTAGCACTATGTTCAGTGGTTTTTAAAAGCACCTTTGCTCTCTGTCAACAACAGGATGTTCTAGACCCACTCTGAATTTTCCTGTCTTAAGACTTGAAATCAATTCCCCTTCAAAGAGCCCTGGTTCCTTTTTGTAGAAAATAGCTCTGAATCTGGGTTACATGGATTCACCTGAGTGGTGATGTTGGCCAAAGGTACTGCTTCTGTTCCAGTTACTGGGATGTTTTTGAGGCAGGTCTGAAAAAGAAATTTTTCCTTAACAGGTCATGTTCATGTTGATTTTTACTATCTTATGAAGTTTTATACTATTGTACCCTTCTTTTCTCTAGCATGAATTTCAAAGACATTCATAATTTTCTCCTACATTGAGATAGCTGGCATATGAACTCTAATTGTTTGATAGTGGCCTATGTTAAGAAAGGTTATGATTTTGCATCTGAGCTCAGGAGGAAAGAATATTGGAATAATTAATAATATTTGTCACAGGTATGGGAAGGGGGAATTGGTGTTATACGTGTCATGTTTGCTGACCCTGTAGACTAGTCATGCTGCCTTGATACTTTCACTCAACCCTAGACCCTCTTTGGGTCAGTATAAACTTTTCCTTAATATCTTTTTTTGAGAAATTGTGGTAAAATACACATAACAAAATTTACCATCTTAACCATTTTTTAATGTACAGTTCAGTGGCATCAAGTACATCCATATTTTTGTGCTGCCAGCACACCACCCATTTCCAGAATTCTTTTCAGGCAAAATTGAAACATTATACTCATTAAATAATAACTCCCCATTCTCCTTTCTCCCCCAGCCCCTGGCAGCCACCATTCTACTTTCTGTCTCTGAATTTGACTACTTTAGGTACCTCATATCAGTGGAATCATACAGTACTTGTTTTTGTGTGCTTGGCTTATTTTACTCAGCATAAGGTCCTCAAGGTTCATCTATGGCGTAGCATGTGTCAGAATTTCCTTCTTTTTTAAAGGCTGAATGATATTCTATTGTATGTATATACCACATTTTGTTTATCCATCCACTTGACTATGGACAGTTGGCTTGCTTCTACCTTTTGGCTATTGTGACTAATGCTGCTGTGAGCATTGTGTGACAAATATCTCCTTGAGACACTGCATTCATTTTGGGGGGGAATAGTCCCAGAAGTGAAATTGTTCGATCATATAGTAATTCTATTTTTACTTTTTTGGGGAAACCCATACTGTTTCCGTAGCAGCTGTATCCTTGTACATTCCCATCAACAGTGTGCAAGTGTTCCAATTTCTCTGCATTTTTACCAACACTTTTTATTTTCTGTTTTTTCAATCATAACTATCTTAATGGATATGTGGTGGAAGATGAGTAGTAAACTTTTGTAAGATAGCTAATCAGGAAAAGAGTTCTCCTGTGGCCTGAGACAGGGCCAGAAATTGGGCAGCACAAAGCATTACAGCTCACCCCAGCAGAAAGCCAGCATGCCTGAATCGTCTCCCATGTATAATAAACCCATGTAAAATAAATCTATTTCCTTAAAACACAACAAGCCATATCTAGGTCCTTTGACTTACTGAGGCAGCATGCCCTATGTTTAAGACAACACCTTATTTCACTGTGCAAATGTCCCTAAGAATGGGTCCTGACAGGTAGGTCTCTTTGCTTGTTTTAAGAAAATATTATGTATGAGTAAAAAGGAATATGAAGGAGTTGATTGTTGGTAACCCACTATTGCCTATTTAGGATGTGAGTGTTCAGAGACTAATGATGAGGTTAGATTTCTTTTCTCATTAAGATTTCCATCAGATAATAACAGGGAAAGAAGGCAATAAAACTCCGTCCATTTAGAGTAACTCTTTGTAATGGCTCTCCTAAAACATTAGGAAGAGGTAGGGATTCGGGGCTAAAATTAGCCCCTCCACCATTAATTAGAGATTTAATTTATTCATGATACCCCTGGCCCCCATTACTCTGGGATAGGAAATTTGATTCTAGTACAGTTTAGAAAATATCAAACTGAGCTTAAGTCAAAGGTGAACATTTCTTGAAAAAAAATGTAGTCAATCCCAAAAATATGCCATTGTATTCACAGTTGCTCTATTTGCCCTTTTTTCAAAGGCTATTTTGCTTCTCTGTTATAAAACCCACTGAGGAAACACCTGTTGTCTCCAGGAAGAAAAATAAAAGCATTCATGTGGGGGAAGGTGGGGTTGACTGGGTTTTCTGAGACATTTATTTAGCAACAAATAAACATTCTGATGGCATGCCAGGCACTGTGCTACAGAAGGAATATAAGAACCAATGCCTGACTCTGAGGACTAAAGCAAGCTTTGAAATTACCTGAGACTAGTTCTTAACCCATGTGTAGGCAAGTGTAACACAAGCCACATAAATGCAAGCATATCTTCTATATTGATGAATCAGGGGTGTGTAGAACAGGCTCCCTTCAGAGAGAAAGTTGGAGGACATTGCAGAGCAGAGCAAGGGACGAAGTAATGGCCCAGCTAAAACCACGTAAGGAATTAATTATAAGCAAGGCACATTGATAGGAAATATCTATAGAGAGTCTGTTTTGGCCTTGCAATATGAGGTGATGGGCCCACCCAACCACAGCAAATATTTATTAATCATGCCAAGCATATGTGGGTCCTTGGGGAATAGGACTAATAATAATAATAATAATAATAATAATAATAATAATAATATCCTACATTTATATCAACTTAACAGAGCATGTTTAAATGTTTCTCATCTCATGTAGACAATGTTAAAAAAATCCAATTTAATTACCAATGATAAAAAAGAAATGACAGATTCACCTTTAAATATAGTTTAAACTATTTAAACTTGTGCTTTCTCCAGGGACTCACATTAACAATAATATTTAAGAATATTGATTTCTAGTTGGTGTAGGTATTTGAATGATTTAATAATTATTCCTAAATTTAGGGATGCCAATGAAATCAAATTTCTTCTAATTCTAACCATATCTATAAAGTTGCTTAACTTTTCAAGTAAATTGCTCTCAGGAGACAAAGAAAAGTACTTTAAAACTTCATTCCATGACCTAAGTTTGGCTGTTTTGCCAGTTTGATGTTTACTCATTCACTTCTGCTCTATGAGTCACTGAAAATCTTTTTAAAAAATCATCCAAAGCATGAGATAAGCATTATAATACTCATAAACTCATTCTGATGCTATCATTTGTCAAGTTTATGGCCAGATAATGAAATTAGTTTTAAAAAGTGATCTCTAAGATACCTTTCACCTAAATATTCTATCATTCCCCTATCTTCTTATGGAAGACAGAAAAGAGAAGGTAGACTATTTAATTATAAATTGATAGTAAATTGACTGACTCATATGGATGCCCCTATTTTTAAAGCACCATAAGAGGAGAAAATTCATGCTTTTGTTCAAGCCCCAAAGCATTCTTCTAGAAATATCTAAAAATAGTGAGTCCAGTGCTCTCCCCTGTGAGTCAGCAAGTGTTCTAGGAGCTAAGCTCAGGCACGGGGAGACCTGCCATCAACACAAGTTTTTCAAGGACAGAAAAAGAGAACTTCTTTCCACATGTAGAGTCTTCTTTTTAGGATTCACCCCTTAATTTACAAATCAGTAAACCAAGGCTCAGAAGGTGAAGTGACTTGCCCAAGATCTCATAGCCAAAGAGTGGCCGAGCTAGGCCCTGAACTCATGTCCCCTGTTACCCATTCAGCGCTCATCCCAGTATTCCATGCTGCATTTTAGCCATGTAAAATGTCATCATTTTGTAGAAATTCTTGAATTGAATGACTGTAGGCTCCATGTTGGCATTCATTACCCCAATATCAGTTGCTTGGCTTTATGCAGCTCAAAATCATATAATCATATAATCTTTACTATTTAGAATTGTAAGGATTATATCAAATTTAATTTTTATAAACACTCTTTTAGAAGAGCTAATATCTTTAGTATATCCAGTATTCAATAGGTTAACTCTTGATTTCTTCAGTTTTGTTTTTATGTTTTTAAGGCAGTGCAGGTCAGGCTAACCTATCAGGTTCAGGAAAAATTCATGTATAAAAAAGGATATTTCTTCTGCAGTGCTGAAAACCAGAACAGTGAGAAAAGCAGGGCTGCCTCTTTACTCTGGCTCTCTTCCCATCTGCTTCGGCATATGTTTTAAGGCTTGTGCCATATTACCTCAGCTATGAGCTATTTTTTTCCAAAGGAAGCAGAGATAAATTAAAAAAAAAAAAAAGTCCAGCTTTCCAGAATGGACTCTCCTGGGCTTTCAGTGCACACTGTGTAAATAAAAGATGTACTTTACAGCTCCCGGGAAGAGAAAATGTAAACAGGAACCAGCTGCTTCTCTCCAAGAGCGGAGGGGAGGAACACCTGATTTTATTCCAGTTGTCACTGGTGCTCCTCTAAATGTGTACAGGTCCTAATACCAGTGGCAGTGGTCCCCAAACATGACCCCACATTGGAATCATCTCAGGATTGTTTGTAAAATAAATGATGCTTTGTCCCTCCCCTCCCTCCCTACTCCCCCCCCCTCCCATCCTGGTTTAATTGATATGGGAGTGACCTGGGCATCAGGAGTTTTAAAAGCTCCCCGAAGCAATTCTAATGTGCAGCCAAGTCTGACAACCACTCACTGCCTTAGTGGCCTGTTTGGTAGCAACAATAACAGGCACTAAAATCACTCCAGTCTAAAAGGTGGATTTTACCCAGCTCCAACTCATTAGAGGCTCTGGATTCATTCTGGTTCAAGACCAAGCTCTGACCCTTACTCAGCTGTGTCACCATGGGCACATCACTTAATCTCTCTGAGCCTTAGTTTCTCTCATGAGCAAAATGGGAATAATAATGCTTATTTCAAAGAGCTCTGTGGAGATTGAATGACACATGGATATAGTCTGTCTAGCACATTCATAGGTATTTAAAGGTGTTTCTGCTATCACCATCACTTAAATTCAGAATTCATTAAATTTCAAGTCTTTTAAATAAAGTTTATTTTTTGTAAAAAAAGAAAAGAAAGAACTCTATAACATTAATACTTTAAAAATTGTATTTTCTCTATTTTCAATTCCATGCTCATCAAGCAATCTTCTGACTATAATGTGGCTAATATATAAAAAGCCTTCATCTATTCACTCATTCGACTAATATTTATTGAGAGCCTATGATGGGTCAGGCTTTATTCTAGGCAGGAGAGTACATCAGCAGACAAGAAATATTTCTAAGGGAGGAAAACAAACAAACTTAAATTATATAATATAGTAGAAAGTGATAAGTGCTATGGATAAAAATGAAGCAGAACGGCCAGCCAAATGGCTCAGTTGGTTAAGAGCTTGTGCAAGAGTGTGAGCTCTGAGCAACAGTGGTTCGATGCCTGGCCCGAGCTGAGTTGCCGCTGAGCTGCCAACAGGTAGCAGGATGGCTCAACTAAAAAAAAAATTTTTTTAATTAAAAAAAAAAAATGAAGCAGAAAACGGAGATGAGGATGTTGGGGGGTTCTATTTTAAATTAGAGAAGCGTTCTAATTGTATATATATGTTATGATCTGCAAGGTAGTAGTGGTTTGATGGATTGCAGTCTAGTGTTCTTTAAGCTACAGTAAACTAGTAAACTTGTTCTCTGTCGTGTGTTCCTAATGTCAATATAGTGAATAAAATTACTTTTCATGTATTTCATACTTGTTAAAACTCAACACCATTTTTATACATAATTGGTTCCTGAGCAAGGAGCAACCTAACAAAGTTGCTGATTCCCCTATTTCAAATTGTCTCAGGTCGGGTTCCCTCCAAAGCAGACCCTGTGAGAAGGATTTGAGGTCAAGTAGTTGAATTGGGTGGTGAACCCAGGAAGCAGTACTGGAGGGGTAGGTACATGAGACAAGGAGGGGAAAGGAACCAATATAAGGTTTGTTAATGAGTGGGCTTTAGTTATGGACAACTGGGGCTTGGTCCCACTGAGGATTTCTGGGAAACTGTGAGGAGTAAGGAAGCTGGGGTATTTATTTACCAATTTTGTCCACTATTGGTTTAGGGTCCCTTCATTAGCATATTTGGAATGAAGGAGGCATGAGGGTAGGGAATCAACAACGTCTGCTATACTGCGACAAAAGCCTCCTACTTATTTTTCATTCTCCTAATTCAGAATTTTTCATACAGTATTTAAACAGAGACTAAGCCCTGGTGTTTTTTTTTCTCAAATAAGCTCTCCACATTGTAATACAATATCATAGATAAGATTGTGAGAAGAATGCTTACAATTATTTAAAGTACAAGACTATTTTCATACATTCTCAAAAGTTTCAGAAGCCCTAATTATTTACTGTGCTAAGACAAATTATTATCTATTCATTAAAACAAGCCTTATGAGATCCACGTATTTGATTTAAACTCTTTAAAAATAATGAAGTTGCATTCTTTAGAAATAGTCTGCACTAAGATTTCTTTCCTTGTTCAAAATGCCTTTTCTAACCCAATTAATTTGAAATAGAGAACACTGTTTTTATGTCACCAAATCCAGTTGACCTTCTCAGTAAACAGGCAACAAACAATGAAAATCTCTATATTCATTGAACTGTAATTGTATAACATCTGCCAAGGGGAATTGGTTTTTCACGTGCTCAAACATTCTTAAAAACAAAGCACTGAAATCAAGGCTTTTTTTACACAGGCCGTTGAAGTGAATAGGGCTGAAAATTGCAGATCTCTTGTCCACTTTTTTGCACAAGAGCTTCTCTGTGCTTCTTTGGGGAGCAAATAGCATGGAGCCTCAACGGTGAGGCAGGAGTGAGCTTATAAGATCAGGAAGTCACTGAGGTAAATGCAATAGAAATTGGAACATCATCAATTTTTTTTTGAACAGTGTCAAATCTTAAAGCAGTGTTATTGCTCATGAACTATAATCAGATGTATCCAGATTCAAACTTGGATCTACTATTTACTAGCCATGTGATCTTCATCATATTACTTTAATCTCTTTATGCCTCAGTTTCTTCATCTGTAAAATGGGAATGAAATAGGACTACTTCATAAGGTTGTTGTGAAGCGTAAAAGAGATGCATTTTGGAGCACAAGGCACAGCCCCTGGCTCATGAAAAGCACAAAGTACAGATGGTTCAACCAAGAAGTCTGGGCAGTAGACTTGAGGTAATACGGCTCAGAATGGATAGTCACCACACTGAGCCTTGGCAGCGATTACTTTTGCAGAGGCCCTGGACTTTGAAAGCCTCTTTTCTTAGGTCATCCAGTCCTCTCCAGACCACCTGGTTTCTTGATGCAGACACTCTGAGTATTAGGGACCTCACTCAGTTCGGGGAATGGTTGATTTCTTTGAGACAGAACTAGGATACATCAGTATTCATGTCTGAAGAAAGGTGTTATCTTTCAGATAGTGTACTTAGCAGAAACTCTGCAAGGCCAGAGTCCAAATTCCAACTCTGTTATTTCCTGTGTGGCCTCATGCAAGTCATTTAGCCTCTCTGAGCTTTAGTTTTCTCATCTAAGTTGATGATAATACCCACTTTCAGTCAACAAGGTGTGCAGAGGCCATCACACAGCAGGTACTTCAGTGATGCTTGGTATTCTCCCACCACACTTGAGATTCATCAGAGAATGTTTCACATCCAGGGAAGTTTTACTAGAACAAGTTCTAAGGCTCACTATCCAAACCTTGAAATGAGGCCCAGGTTGCCTCTTCATCTGGGGTTTTACACACTCCTTACCAGAACTGGGCAGAAGATTTGCATAGCAACTTACACAAAACCACAAATTTGGACTTAACTTAACATCACTTATTTGATGACAGTTTCTTTTAAGTATCTGCCACTCTGATTCAGGCCTTGAGCTGACAGTGCTCCTCAGTTTGGAAGAACCATCCCTAATCATCAATGAAGCAATCTAAGAATTGTAAGAATCCACCTATCCAGGGAACTGAATGAACTCTTCTCTGCCAGAATATCAAACTGTGGTTATTTGTGTGGAAGGATATTAGCTCCTTGACGCTTACCAGCGTGGTCCCTTCTCCTGGAAACTTATCCCCACCCACTCTCCTTGACCCTGCCACCCCCACTCAAATACGCACACAGCCTCATAGGGACACCGCCTCACAAGCAATTGGTAACTCCAGTATTTGTTTATTGTTGTAAACATAAGTGTGATCTTTAAAAAGAAATGCAGTGATGTTTTATGAGTGTTTGATATGGGTTCTCTGCCTTTTTCAGGGAAAACAGAAGCCTATTTGGAAGCCATCAGGAAGAACATCGAGTGGTTGAAGAAGCATAACAAAAAAGGAAATAAAGAAGGTAACGCTTTAGTGTGGTTATAAATTACAAACTTCACCCAGTTAGCAGGGGCTCTTGTTAAAACAAGATTCCCACAATCAAAGTGAGCCAAAATCTCCTCTCAGAGCCCAGAAAGACTGCAACTCTTCTCAGATGCAAAAGGGAACAGTACCTCCATTTGTCTTATTTTCCAAACCAGCCTTTTAAACAATGGCATTGTTTTCTTTTCTTTGGCATTTTATGATGAAAAAAAATGTCAAACAAAAGTAGAGAAATAGTACAATGAATCCCCGTGTATCTATCATCCACCTTCGATAATTATCAACATTTGCCAATCTTGTTTTGTCTACTCCCCCCACCCTTTTCTTGGGGTATTTTAAACAAAGGCATTTTCTGAACACATAATAGGTGCACCCTGCAGTCACGAAAGCAGGTCACTCACTCACTTAAAACACAGAACTAGATTCTGTTCTGAGTGCCAGAAATGTGAAGCACAGTAAAATGTAGTCTCCCCTACCCTCAACCCCACCCCCAACCCCACCCCAAATTACTCACAGCATCAATAAAGTACGGTTGGTCCTGCTTGGTGCTATCACAGACAGGCATGGTAGTACGAAGGAGGCAAAAGGAGGGGGCACATCGCCTTACAGAGACAGAGATCACTGGGATAGAAAGGGCCCCGTGAAAGCCTTCACTGGAAAGGTAAGTGAGGAGAGATGGAGGCAGAGGGAATGCTGCGTGCCAAGACAAAGGGACAAATGAGAGGATGCTTTCTGGAAGCTGGAGCCATTCGGTTTCCCAGGTACACTGGATATCTGTGGGAGGACCCGCAGACAGGACTAGGAAGGTGCGCAGTAATAGCCAGGTCAAGAAGAGGCTGGTGCACCCTGCTAAGGAGGCTCATTTTAGCCAGAGGATCCTAAATTAGGGCTTCTTTAAGCCCTGAGAACTCAGTTAAGAACTGAAAAATCTATCTGGCAAGCAGTGTGATTACAGCTTGAAAAAATAAGACCTCAGAAGGCTGGAGAGAGATAGGAAACAAATATCTAGAGCAGAAATGATGGTGCTTAAGCCCAGGCAAGGCAGAGAAAATAAGAAAAGAGGGAAGAAACTTGAGAGCTACATGAATAAAGAGGAGTCTGCTATGATTCCTGGGTGTCTAGCCAGAGCAGTTGCAAAGGGAGGCTTTTTTTTTTTTAAGATTTTTATTGGGGAATTGGGGGAAGGGGAACAGACAAGTTGCTGTCCTTTTGTTCTTCAGTCTAGTTGTGGAGGACGTTGCTTCACTGGCCCAAGTTGGCACCATCATTGCGCTCTTCTCGGGCGAGGCAGATCAGTCGCCGGCTTCTGGATGGCCGCTCACTGCGGCTGCTGGCCGCTCACGCTGGCTGCTGGCTACATACGGTAGCCCATGGCAACCCACTGCCACAGGGACTGCAGCCTACACCGCCTCGCCAGCGATTCACAGCAGCCCAGCTCCAGGTTGACCTGTTGTTCAGCATCTAAGCTGTAGAGGGCAGTGTCACTGGCCCCCATATGTGGGATGCGAACCGGGGTCCTCTGGTGGCCCAAGCCAGCTCTTAACCAATGCGGCAACAAAGCCCAAAAGAGGCTTTTAAAATGAAACAAGCAGTGCTTCTCAACCCTTAAAGTGCATGCAAATCATATGCCAAGCTTCTCCATATCCTAATGCCCTGTGACACCACTAATTCAGAAACTTGAGGGGCAGGACCCAGGCATCAGTAGTTTTAAACCCCTCATCTTTCCACCATGCAGCCAAGTTTGAGAACCACTGAGATAGAGCACGATGGGAGGAAGAGGTTTTTTTCAGCACCCTTTTAGCCTGTCATCTTATAAGTTGAGCAAGATGGAAACAATCATCACATCTTCACACATATTCATTTTAGTTGGCTCAATATGATGTGAATTTCCAGGCTGTCAGTTCCATTAAAATTCACATACACCATATTTCATCAAATGTGTCATTGATTGGAAAATGCACCATTGTTTCATATACCACTAAGGAAGAAGTATTATGAGATGCTATCAATGACTGTGAAGACTTTAAAATAAAATAAAAAAGTTTATCTTAGAATCAGTGTAATACAGTAGGTGCTATATTTGAAATGCATTCCAAAACCAATGTAAATTGTATGGTCCAACAGTATGGACTATTTATGTGATTTCTTTCACCAATGAACATATAAATCATATTCCTAGTCATAACTGACAACATCCTGCAATTCAGTCTTCCACTTCCAGAAACGACCGACCTAGTGAAGTGTGGAACTGTGATGTTTGCATCCAAGGCTCTGTGAGCAAACCTCAGAACAACAGTGTTGAGTTTGCCGCTCCCTTCTGCCTCCAGGAAGTGAGGGTAATATGCACTCCTGAAGGCAGGAGCAGAGAGCTCTCCCTCCACTGCCTTCACATGTGCTCTGCTCCACGGGGTCATCTCTCACAGCCTGTGTGCATCTAGGTCCTAGGGCCATGCAGTGGCGGCAGCTGTGTGAGCAGGAAGTCTCACTATCAGTTCTTACCTTCCTTAACCTCTGCTGATGCCCTTTGTTCGGCAGGGGACTGGGGGACTTGAACCTCCTTCCCAAATCCAGGAAAAAAAGGTCCATGTGGTGTGATAGAGAGGGTGATGATAAAATCTTATGCAGCCTTAAAAGTCTGCACTTTTAAAAAAATGAATTGCTACCCTTATCACTTTTGAACCTACCAACCTGAAAACCCCTTTTAAGATTAACAAGGTGGTTACTGACTTGTGTACTCTCATAGCTAACAGCCTTTCCTCAGCACCAGGCTGGTTTTCCTGGCACACAGTGGTAGCTTGGTCATAAAGACAGTTTTTCCATTTCAAAAGAAAGCACCATTATTTTCCTGTTTGCCCATTCAAATCACCTGGACCTCTTCACATCTGTCCATGGGAGTCTGCCTTTTGTCCCTCTAAGATGTTGACCCTGCAACCGAGTCTGAAGAGCGAGCATTAATTTGAATGAGTGGTAATCAAGAGGTGCCTCCTGAAGTGCACACAAAATGTACGTTCAGGTCAGTTCTCTATTTTGTGTCTGAGAAAAAGGAAAAGTCAAAAAACAAACAAAAAACCCCAAGCACTAACTGAACATTTGTTCTGCACCCATTCGATGTTTCCTATTCACTACTTCAAGGCCACAGTCATCAAAGCAATGACTACAGACTGACCCAGGTTCCGAACCTGACTCTACCATGAGCTGAGCATGTGACTTACCTCCTCTGTCCCATTTCTTCATTTCTGAAATGGGGATACTGTTGCTTACCTCATGGGTTTTATGAGAAGCAGGTCAGATGACAGTTGTAAAGTGCTCAATGCCAAGACTTCTCTCTTTAATCCTCACGGCTGCACCCTAGTGGGGAGGACACAGCTCTCTCTAAGCCTCGGCTCACCTGGATATAAGCACCTGGTGCTTGCAGAGAGTTCCATCATGCTTAGTTTTCCTTTCATGCAGGGCTTAAAGATGCCCAGGGGACCCAGATTAAGCTTATATTTAGGCTAGCTCAAGGGGCCGTGGGGTGCTTTGAGCCTTTGTACCCCACTCTCTCCTTTCTCTTCCCCTTACAAACTGATGGAAATCAGGCCTCTGGCTCAGGGGCTGCCAATATCCAAGACAAATGGCACTGTCCTCAAGGAACTCAGCCTCAAGCAACTCACAATCAGGAGAGGTCTCCCCAAGTACTCTATGGTGGGGAAGACCCACGAGTCCAACCATGAGGGGTGTGTGTCATAAATTTTGGTACCTCCATAAGATGTATTGTATGTAGCCATTAAAATAGTGTTTCTGAAGAATATTAATGCTTACTATGTAAAGTAAGTGAAAGGAGCTAGTTATAAGGTTGTATGTACACTGTAATTTCCATTGTGGGTTGAGATAGATATATTTGAAAAGTTAAAAAGAAATAGAACAAAATACCAACTGTGGTTATCGATGATTAATAGAATTCAGGTGATTTAAGTTTTATTTTATGTTTCTGTAGTTTTCATTTTTAAAAACAGTAAGTATATAATAATCAAGGAAAGATGTGGGTTTCTTCTTACGCCTTTAGAATGATGCCACCTTATTTTGGGGATCTCTTTGTTTTGGGTGGGTGGTTTGATGGTTTATATAAATTTTGTTTGTTTGTTCAAGTAGGACAGAGAAACCATAAAGAAGTTATCATTTGGCTTTTTGCTCCATATATATACACAATTCTAACAGTGTGCAAATCAAGGTAATTCTTAATTTGGAAAAAATTTAAAGGTGTGTTGACTAACCAGTGTAGCAAGTTCAGAAAGTCAAAACACCTGGTTTGGATCGTAACTCTACTACTTGTGTGACCTTGACGAAGGTACTTAAGTTTGAGGATCTTCTTACCCGAAGTGTGATTCCTAGACCAGCAGCATCAGCGTCTCCCAGGAGCTCGTTTAAAATGCAGAATCTGGGGCCCCACCTCAAACCTACTGAATGCAAATTTGCAACTGCCCAAGAGTCCCAGGTGACTGGTTATAAATAGTAAAGTTTGCAAAGCCCTGGTCTCTGAACCCATTACCCCCATGGTCAGATGAGGGTGGTACTCTCCAACTCAACACCTCGCAGGTATGATGATGGGAAGCAGATGAGCTCATATACACATACATGTGATTTTAAACTGCAAAGTACTGCACAAAAGCCAAGACCTAAAATGTCTTTCAGTGTGAAAGAAGGGATGGTTGTGGTGGTGTTGTCCAAAACGCTTCTTAGTTAATGGTAATCACTGTAATGGGATTGCTCTTTACTGATCTTTGCTCATGATACCATAATAATATTTTCCAGATTATGACCTTTCAAAGATGAGGGACTTCATCAACCAGCAAGCTGATGCTTATGTGGAGAAAGGCATCCTTGATAAAGAAGAAGCTGATGCCATCAAGCGTATTTACAGTAGCCTGTAAAAATGGCAAAAGATCCAGGATTCTTTCCACTGTTTCAGAATTCATAATATAGCTTAAAACTCTTCTAATTCTGTGATTAAAATTATTTTGACCCAAGGATTATTAGAAAGTGCTGGATTTACAGTAGTTAACCTTTTAGAAGTGGTTAAAACATAGCTTTCTTGCCATAAAAACTATCTGAAAAGTAAAGTTGTATGTAAGCTGAGATTTTATACCTAGAATTCTTATTTCCCTGTAGATTTCAATTTTATAATCAGAGATATGTTGCTTTGGGAAAGCCTGTAATGGACTCAACTTAAAAATGAAACTTTTACCTTCTGTGTCACACATATACGCACCCCTGAAGAATTAGAGGGCAGTTTTCAAGGCATGCTGGGTACCAAAGCACCTCATAGCATATGTCTGTTACAAGATATCATTTTCACTACCAGTTCCCTTTTGGTTGAAATAAATTCACATTTTCTCAAAACCTCTATAGCTTAAAGGAAGCTGTTTTTTTGGCTACTCCTGCTGGCTTTTTATCAGGCCCAATGGTACAAAAAGGAACCTGAAAAATGGGCATAGGATTTGCTAGATTTATTAACAATTTTCCCCCACTTTTAACATTTTCTGTTAGTTTTCAGACATTGAGTTTGTTTATTAAGAGGGATACGTAGGGACTCTCCAAGAAGAAAAATGAGGTCATAAACACTACATCAAGCAACGTATGCCAAATCTGAGTTATCTAAACTGGACTTGATCCAAGCCAAGATTTCTCAACAGAGAGCAAGAGGGCCAGGCAATAGAGGAGAAACGGATATAAAAATCATTTTCTTCCCTGAGAACCAAAGCTGGGAAATGAGCTTCCCTGGAGGTTAATGAACTGCCAGTCCCTGAGACCTGTCTTTCTCAGCCACCACCCCCAACACAGCCCTGGAAACAGCACACTGTCACCAAAGTCCCCCTGAAATGTTAATGGGCAATGTTCCCAAATCAAAGAATGCTTTAAAAATGTGCTATTCAAATTACATTATTTTCTACATATTTCAGTTAAAAATCATAAAAATAATATGCTTTGTGTATTAGCTGTCACTACTTCAAATGGCTTTCTGATACCTGTCTTTTCAACGCCCCTACTTGGTATTCGCTTTTTGGTGAGGACTGGGGAACTTATAGGGAAATTTAAGAGGGTGTTTTTCACAAGTAGGAGACCACTGCTGCTCCTCCCATCCTATCTAGAGTTGCAAAAATAAACAGAAACCAAAGCCTGACACTCAAAAAAACTAGTTAGTTAATATGTTCTAGAGAAGCCCGTACTCACTGGTGAGCGGTGAGAGAGAACCAAAAACAACTTTGCCCGAACTACTTGCCAAAGCGTGAAGAATCGGACTTGTTTTATGAGTTATCTTTGATAACATGACTGACTCTACTTCACCCATGTCCTGTAGTCCAAACAGGCTGCTTCTACATCAGAGAAAAAGCTGGCTGTCACTAAAGCATTTTCTCCTTTTGCTAGAACTTATCTAAAATCTACGCAGTATTTTCAAAAATAAGAAATCTATTTAGTGAGTCTATTTAATGAATGCCCGAACACACTGACATTCATCAGCTCCTATTGATCACCAAGACAAAAGGGGGAACATCAGTCCTGTTTTATAAATGAGGAAACTGGTATACACACACACACACACACACACACACACACACACACACACACACACACAAGGGCACAAGATATGCTCAAACTCATGTGGCCAAGAAGTGGTAAAGCTGAAACCAGAGCCCAGGTTTCTTAACCCTCAGTCCATTCCTTCACAGTGATTCTATGGGCAAGACAATGACTAAAGAATTCTAGTCCAGGATAGTTCAATTGTAGCCATGACAAAGTCAAAGTTTTTAATAACTTTAAAAAGAGGAGAGATGTTATTGCCAGAAATTGCTGAGGGACTTTAGGCAAAATTAAAATACTCCGGAAAATGTTTTTGAGATTGTGGTCTTTATATCAATTTTCAGCTTATGTCTTTTAGATAGTATTTTTGGATTTATGTCTTTTGGATTACTCACAAATTGCAGATTATTTTAAGTTAAACAGCATGATAACTTTATATTTTTTTAAAGTTCCTGGGACTCCACAGAGGCCTGAGCCTTTTCTTACATACACAACTGTTTCCCTTCCTTTATTTATTTTTTCTTTTAGTGTTCTCTTCCAATAAACTCCCCATAGTTCAGATAGTAGTGGATGAAAGAAAACAGCAAAGCATGATGAAGAGATCACCCTCTATCAAAGATGATAATAACATGAGAAAAAAAAAACTGAAAAATAAAAACATGAGATGCTATTACCATGAAAAAAAAAAAAGAAAACAAAACAAAGGCTTATATACATTATAAACAAACAAGAAATTCAAGATAAGGGCAGACAGCTACTATGTCCCATTCATGCCTCAAGGGTTGGACACGGGCAGCTCTGGTTCTGCTAGCTCTGCTGCATTAACACCTAAGGGCACGTGTCTCCTGCTTAAGGGAAGGAAGTCCTGGAGGAGCAAGATGGGGAGAAGAAAATGAGGAAAGAGAGAAGAGGGGAAACAAAGGTCCTTTTTGCCCCCACAAAAATCAGACTCCTTTGGGGAAGTTGGGGAGGAATAATATGAAGAATTTTTGGGCAAGTTTAAAGATTTAACCCAGCATTTGAATAGAAATTGAGACCCAAAAAAACCCATTTAATTGTTAACAATATATGGCTTAAGGTTTCCTGCTATAACCTATGCAGATAATAAAAGTAAGACAAATGAAATTAATGTGAATAAAAACCTAACCCTCAACTCAAATGAACACAGTGACTACCAAAACACTCTGTAAAGTGACTTACCAATGAAATAGAGACTACAATTCACCAATGTATCAGGTCATAGCACTATTTCTTATTTTGATCATATTCTGTGTTCTCACTATATTGGAAATGCATCAAGTCAAATATGAAAATGTAAACATTACTAGTAACTGCAATTGATTTGCTTTTAGGTTATTGAAACTTTTTTTCAAAATTGCAATTGAAATAATAAAAACCATTCAAGGAGAGAAGCTGTCACTATTTCAAAAATATAATTTAAAAATCAACTTTTTTTCACTTGCTGAAAAAATTGAAGGCTCAAATATAAAAACATAGTTTATTTTTTCATTCATATTTTTGTAGTTTATTTTTTACAAAATTTGGTTCTTTATTTACTAGAGAATATGTAGTACATCTTGAAATATATATATATATATAGCAATATATATATATATATATATATAGCACTTAAGTTATAAACACATAGCAAAATCAGCATCACTTAAACAGCAACCATGTTTTTCTCACATAATTAGGATTTGTCAAGAGATAAACATTGCTTTTAGCTTGACTATGTAAATAGTCTTTGATGCTTTATGTCAACTACTATTCACAAAGCAAGTCAAAAAACTACCACCACCTACAAAAGTGATGAGCTTTAGGATACAATTTTGGTACCATGCCATAATGCAGACTTAAAATGATAGAAAGCCAGAGAGAACTATTCACTTCAGAGCAACTGCAGTAGGTGGAACTTCTTAATTGTGATTTAAAGATACACACTATGAGAATCCAAAAGGGATGTTTTTGAATCTTCAGTTGTTGATTTCTTTATGATCCAACCATCTCTTAATCCAAGGGAGATTATGCCCCCTGATCATCTAACTATGATAGAGTGAAGTTACATAGGGACTTTCTTCATCTCTGAAAAAAAAAAAAGAAATATGGAATAAACCAGTGTTTAAAACCTATATTCAGAAAACTAACACATATACTTATCAAACAACTTAATATCCACTTGCCAAAGAAGTACAGGAGTATATCAATTTATAATATTGTACATGCCTTGAAAGTTGTATGAGATACAAATATCATTAGTGTGTACCTTATTGATTCAATTTTGTGTCTCAGTTACTGAAATAAAGAATAGTGCTTGCTATGTATTGATATTTGTTTATACTACATTTAAATTATATTAAATTATAAATTAATCATATTCGTATTTATATTTGTTTATATTTCTAACATTTCACCTCTTTCTCAAAAGGGTTTGGAGGTTCCTACAACAAAAGGGGTAAAATATAAGATGAATAATATAGAAATTAAAAATCAGGACTAAAGAAAAGAGAAAGATACAAATATATTAACCATAAGACATATTATAGTAGTTGAACTGAGCATCAATTTTAGTTACAAGCTTTCTGGTAGCCAGGGCAAAAAAGGTTGTGCCATTCTTGGAATCATAAAGGGAGAAGGAAATCAATTCTATAGGAGAGAGAAAGGTTTGCCCTAGTACCAAATTAAAGAACAAAAAAGAAAGCTCATGTGAGATCTTATATAGGAAACACCTGGGGACAAAAAAAAACGGACAATGTCTTTGACAAATTTTATAAGGATCACTGTTTTACAAGTATTCTCTAGGGCATTACTTCCTTTGAAGGCATCAGCTAGATGTCTCTACTTGGCTATTACCCAGAATTGCTAGCCGGGCAGTTATGCTATTAAAGCAAAGAAGCAAACTTTTTATAACAAAAAACAGAAACAAAAGCATTCAGACAAAGCCTTATGCAGGATGCAATGGCTCTGTTTAGACTTCATATATTAAAAATGCCTTTCTGGAATTAAAATATAGTTTTTAAAGCAAAAAAGAAAATTTGACCAAGTACCAGCGTATTTTTACCTGCTCTCTTCTTTTAGTTTCTTGACTGCCTGTGTTGATAACTTAATCTGCAAGTCTAGTCTCTGCAGGAAATCTCTGGCTGACACCTCCTCAGGTGGCACAGGCTGAACATCGGATTCCTGAGGACTGGGAGGAGAGAGGTCTTCCCCAGCCACCGCTGGCTCTTCCTGAGAAAAACTGCTCTCAACAGTTTCATTTTCTGGAGAATCAATTGAGTTAAGTCCATTAAACAGCAACGGCTTCTCTAATATAACTGGGATGTTCAAAGTTTTCTTCAGAAATATACAATCATTGGTAAACAGTTTATTTGCCCTTTTAATCTGCTCCATCTAAAATATTAAAAAGGAAACACAGAGTTACATATAAATAAATCCAGAAGTACGGCTTGTTACACAACATGGAGCTAAAAATGTTCATGAGCAAAATGTGTGCAATGATTTCTCTGGATTGAAGATTCTTTTTTTTTTTTTTAATTTTTTATTGTTAGTTTCAGGTGTACAGAACAATGCAATAGTTACCCTTTTCACCCTCACAAAGTAACAACCCCCCTCCCCCATCCACTGCCCTCCCACCCCCGATATCATGCTTATCTATTACAATTCCATTGAATCCGTTCCCGCACTCTACTCCATGTCCCAAGGTTATATATGTATATATAATTATCATTGACATACAGTATTATTCAACATCAGTTTCGGGAATACAATGCGGTCGTCAGGCCTCTACATCAACTATGAAGTGGACTCTCCAAAAGGTCATGGGTCCATCTGGCCCCCTAAGAAATGCTTACAACATTATTGATTGTATTCCTCGAACTGTCTTTTTCTATCCCTGCGGCCAAATTACAATTACCCAATTGTATTGTCTTGGATTGAAGATTCTTAATTCAGGTTTTGTCACCTCCGCAGATGCCCCCAGTGATTTCAAGAGATGTCAGGAAATTCTGTTTCCCAATTTTAAAAAAGGAAAGACTAATTTTCCCCCCCCACTACATTATTTACCCTACAAGGCAGCTTTTGCTAAGCAGCCTTAAACCCCTGAAGTTACAAAACATAGAATTTTTAGCAGCAATTTAATAAATTTCACTCTCATTTTAACATTTCTATTATCCAATGGACCTTGAAGAATGGGTAGAAGTGGGACAGGTAACGAAAGGAGATGGGGAGCATTTTATATACAGTATCTCATTGTTTTTTACCCAATGGAGTATGTATGTGAAAACATACTTTACAAAGTTCACGGAGATTATGTGCCATGGAATCATCATACAACTGGCAGATGAAGAAGTCAGAATTTAATATAGGTTTCGATAACCTCAAATTCTTTCACAGCCTGTGAATGCCTCTCCCAAACCACAGAGACAGGAATGAGAAGTGGAAGTGAAACAGGGAATGGAATTTAACATCTGTTATTTAATCTCATTTAAGTTTCATAATAGTTCTACTATCTAGACATTAGCATGTCCTTTTTACAAATGAAACAGGCAGTCAAGAGAGTGAAGTGGCCTAAATCCACAATGCTGGTAAGTATACACAGGACTCAAATTATGCTGGTACTGAGCATGTTGGAGAAATGCTTACTCTTACATTCATCACACTGCGTTATAATGTATCTGCTGACTTCTCCGCCCAACTAGCCTGGGACTCACACCGTGCTAGGCTCTTTACATTCACTGTACCATCTAATTTTCACAACTCCTTCTTGTAAGTTATGTTTGGTACAATAGTTAAGCACGCAGGCTTGGGAATCTGACAGACCTGGTTTCAAATCCCAGCTCCACCAACATGAACTATTATTAACATGAGCTTGTAACATCTCTCATTGAGCCTGTTTCCTCATGTGTAAAACAGGAATCATCTACTCTTCACAGGGTCATTGGAAGGATTAAATGAGAGTTTATATACATACTTGCATAGAGGAGATGGATGGATGGGTGGGGGGGTGGGTGGATGAACAGACAGACAGACAGACAGATAGATATAATAGAGGGAGAGACTATTTAGCAGAGCACCTGGCAGTAAGTAGTACTTACTCCTCTCCATTTCCAATGAAGAAATCAAGAGATGATTGATTGGACCAAGTGCGTATGGTTCTTTAAATGTATGAGCCAGAATTTCTGTCTGACTCTAAAGTCCATATAACACCAGGATTAAAGTGCATGACTAATGGGAACCAAATTATGGCAATCCTTTAATGCCAAGTTTATTGAGTAAAAAAATTAGATGTCTACTTCAAAGAGCCTGAAAAAAACAATAGTTAAATAGACCTTGTTCTTCTGTTTTCTTACTATAAGCAAAATCCACACAAATACGTAGTACATTTAAAGCTTTCTTTTTTCCTTATAAAGATATTACATTAAAGTACCTTTTCTGTAGTGGGGAGGGGGGTGGTTAGTCTTTTGTGCTCTAGTTTTAAAGGAGAGAAGGCAAGGGTGAGAAGAGAGAACATGAATAGGCAGGTGCATTTTAGAGACACAATTAAAATCTAAAAATCCTAAATATCTCTGGTCTAGTTTAGGCTTAGATTTGAGACAGTTAAATAACTTGAATGCTTTATTCATAGCAGGTTCAGGTATACTCGTATTCTAATTGCCTTTAGTATCCCTTGCGTTTATCACCTAGCATCTACCTCCTCTCTCTCTTAGTATATGGGCTGCCAATGGTAGCTCGCCCCTGGCTTGAGGGGCAGCATGTGACTCATTCCCGTCCTTAAGAGCATCCAAGTGCCCTGGCTTTCATGATAGGTCACAGTCCCCCATCTCAGGACAATTCAGAGACGCTGGCTCTGGGACAAGAAAGAGCCTCTGTTTTTTTCTGCTGGAAGGAGATGGTCCTGGAGCTGCTAGCAGCCATTCTTCTACCTCAAGGAACTTGACAACAAGTCCACCTTGAAGGACAGCAATCAGGCTCCTGAATCAAAGCCTGAAGCGGAATCCCCTAAGATCTTTCAGTTCCATGAGCCAATAAATGACATTGTTGGTATGGTTTTTGTTGTCGTGTTTTGTTTTGTTTTGTTTTTGCTTAGGCCAATTTGAGTTAGGTTTTCTGTCACTTGTAAGTAAAAGAGCCCTCATTGATACAGGGCCCTTTCAAATGCTTATTGGCAGGGACCTACAATTGTTAATAGTCATTGTTTTCTGGGAATAATGATGGAAAACAGAAACAGCCGGGAACACCAGGGTCTGTTGGGAATATCAACAGTAAACTGAAATCCTTCAGGACAAGAACTGTTACTTCTATAGCTTCCCAGGGTCTAACAAGATCTTTATTTTTTTCTTTTTAAAGATTTCATTGGGGAATTGGGGGAGGGGAACAGCGTTGGGGAGCAGGGAAGGGGAACAGACAAGTTTCTGCTTTTGTTCTCCAGTCTAGTTGTGGAGGACATCACTTCACTGGCCCAATGTTGGTATTATCATTGCACTCTTCCCGGGAGAGGCAGTCGTTCGCCGGCCACTGGATGACCACTCATGGTGGCTCATGGCAGCTCACGAGAGCTCACGCCCGCTGCTGGCCAGCCCCAATGCAGCCTACACCATTGCCAGCGACTCACAGCAGCCCAGCTCCAGGTCGAGCTGTTGTTCACCATCTTAGCTGTAGAGGGCACAGAGTCACTGGCCATCATACGTGGGATCCGAACTGGGGTCCTGCTGCTCAGAGCTGGCGTCCCAAGCCAACTGCTAACCAACGCACCACTCGGCCAGCCTAACAAAGATCTTATACACACTAAGTGTTTAGGAAGGATGGAAGGATGGAAGGATGGATGGATGGATGGATGGATGGATGGATGGATGGACGGACGGACGGATATAGGTCAGAAGAACCAACATAAAAGATGAACCCAGAGAGGTAACCAGAAAGGGTAGTAAGTTATCTTGTGTTGGTTATTCTCTAAACCCACCCTGACCTACAAATCTTCCACTATTCTTGAGTCTGTTACGAACCCCAGGAGGCTGACCTCTTAAGAACTGCTCTACCCAAGTCATCTTGTTCTTAGAGCTCCAGCTGGTGTGACAAAGGAAGGCACCAGCAGAACGACGGCACCATGGCTCCAGTGGCTGCATCCCTCTCTGGCCAAGATCCTGCCAGGCAGCCCGTGTCTGGAACACGGCTCCTTCCCCAGGCCCTACCGGCCCAGGGGTAACATCTCCCTCATGTTACAAGTCTCGGGGGCTTCACTATCCAATATTGGTTCCCTTAACCCTGCTCATACTTCTGAAAATGTCCCTTCATTAAACTCTCTTAGGTCACACCCTCTGAGCACACTATCTGTTTCCTGCCAGGACCCTGACTGTTACATTCAACATTCAGAGCAAGACAGGCATCACAGCCAGGCAACAGGCCAATGACAGGGAACATGAGACCACTGGGACTGAAGGACAGGGCTCCCCTGGCTCATTGGGCATGCTATTGTACAACTGATTCACTAATAGAGCTGTTCCTTTAACTAGTCTATGTTTTTCCTGACATCAGGGACTGCACTGGCTCCATCTCAGTATTATCAGCAAGCATTTAAGGTGTACGTTGACCCTTGTATCTAGACTCTAAGATGAAGCATGAGATGCCAGCATCAAAGACACTAAGGATATCCAAGCATCAAGGTAGGAACCAATCTAAGGATGGGCAGATTTGAGCCTGAAGGTGAAAACAGTAAATGAGTCTAATCTAAGGTAGTAGTTAGAAACATGTGCTCTGGGGCCACTTTCTGAGTTCCAATCCTGGCTTTGCCACTTTGTAAGCATTCTTTATGTCTCCTTTCTTTTTAGTAAAGTAAGGATAATAATAGTGCCTTCCATATAATATGATTATTATGAGGATTAAATGATTTAATTCATGTAAAGCATTTAGAATAATGCAAGGAACACAGGAAGTACTCAAAAACGCTAACAACTATTATCATTAAATGTGGTTAAAAGTGAGAAAGCAACAGGTAAGAGCAGATCCTAACATGTATTCAGCAAATGAGAAGGAAAAAGGTAGGAATTTCTCCCAATAAAAATATTTCTCTCACGAAGTAAGAATGCATAAAGAAAATTTCATATAAAAACAAGCTCAGATGAGTAACATTATATGTTGTCACTGCCCTGAGGTGTGAACTTTAAGTTTGTTTTCAAAGGTAATTGATTTGATCTTAACTCGTTCTCCTTTACAAGCAATGGCTTGAACCAACTACATAGGCTCCAAACTCGGTTATCTGCAGTAAAGTTAAGGGATGAAAACAGCCGTACAAAAAAGCCAGGGGGAGAAAAGCATTCCAACCAGAAAGAACAGCTGCTGCAAATGCCCCAGAGCAGGAAACTTAATAGTGTAGCTGAAGTATAGGAAGTAAAGAG